GAGGTGTTGATTGCGGGTTCTCCATGCCTTCTCTGCTTGTTTTGAGGATCCGAGATCTTCCTGTACCAGTACACCCAGGTCACGCTTCTGGAAGACCTTCTGCAAGGTATGGCCTTCAAGCTTGTAAACGTTCAACGGCTGGTGACGCAGATGGATAAACTTGCACTTAGCTATGTTTAACTGAAGCAGGTTCCTCGTTAACCATTCATAAATGCAATCCTGGTCATGTTGGAGTAGATCTTGATTTTCGTACTTACTAATCGCCTACCGTATCGTCATGTCATCGAGGAAAAGCGTGAAATTTGCGAGTAACTATTACCAGGTCGTTGATAAACACTAGGAATAAGCGCCGTCTCAGCACTTAGCCTTGTGGGACACCACATTTCACCTCATTCGGGTTAGAGAATGATGCCGTAACACACAACTGACGCTTCCGTTGGTGAAGAAAGTTGCCAATCCAACCAGATGCAGGATCTCCGATTCCGTACCTCTGTAACCTGTGAAGTAGGATGCGGTTATCCAGGCAGTCGAAAGCTTTAGAGAATTCCAGATGGATGACGTCAACTCCGACACCACCATTAGCCACTTTCCTCCAACTACCTCGTGCCATTAGTAGGTTGATTGTGCATCACCGGTGTTGACGGAAGTCGTACTGCTCCGTTGCCAAGACGTTGCATTCTTCCAGATAGCCCATTAGAGCCTCAGCGATGACCAATTGCATCTCATTCGCGAGCACAGGGAGGAGATCCACTGGGCAATAGTTTACAGGATCTAAAGGGCTCTCACCTTTAGAAATTGGCGTTACAATGCAACGCTTTCACATGGTAGGGACTTACTGTTTATCGAAGCATCTTTGGAAGTACTGTGACTGTGGTTCTGTTAGCTTGGACACCGCAGCCTTCAGTGCTTTCGCGCGGGTGTTGTCTGCTCCCGGAGAGCTATGATCACGCAGTGAGAGTAACTTCCTGTAAACAATTGCTGGGTTGAAAAACACATGTGTAAACCATAGAGTCTTTAATGTGCGTGACGTCGTGCGACAGTCAGAGACCGCGAGTTCGAAAACTGGGTCGTATTGTAGCCGCAAATCATTTGCTACTTTTTCGGCACTTTGTACTCTACCGCCTGTGGTGAAAAGTGGTGGAATGTCATGCTTCACTTTACGAAGATTGTTGGCATATCTATACAGCCGTTTGTAGTTTGCCAGGAATTTTTGTTAGTCACTGTTGGTAAGTTCCTTTGTCTTCACGGACAAGTGTAGTGCAATGGCTGCGATGGGTCAGGAAATTGTCCCAAGTCTCTGAGTCTGGGTTAATCTTGTAGGCATACCATTCTGCATCCTAAATCGTCATGCATTTGTAAGTCCTGCTGTTCAGAATTGATGGAATTTTTGAGGGACGAAGGGGATTTATCTCTGATGCTCTGCTGACCATGTCGCTGAAGATTTCAACGAACTCTGTCCTAACGTTGTCAAGGGGACAGTTGCTTGAGAATGCCCTGGCAATAACGATTGATTCGGTGAGGGCGTTTAATGGTAGACATACGTGAATAACAAAAAAGTTCTGGGACACCTGTCCGGGAGAAAGTAAGAATTGCCTTGGAAATTCCCTATTTTAGCGATTGGCTGCTGAGTTGCAGTAAAGGGCGGCACACATGATGTGGGTCTCGCAGAATCAAGTATGCCATAATCAGGTCGCCTCGTAGTCTACGATGGCTTCCACTGACCAATCCCAGTGGTTGCAGCCTCTCCTGGTAGGACCGATTGCGCATTCCAATTACGTTCTTAGATGCTCGGCGTTGTGGCTGCTCCAGTGCATTAAGATCGTGTTTCAGCCATGGACGCCAGGCTTGAATTGCATATTCGACATGGGGGCGAACATACGCACTGAGCATTTGTCGAAATATGGAGCTGTTTATTTGTCCAAACGCCCGCCTCAACAGCCCAACGTGTTGTTTCCCGGTCTTCGAGGCCTTTTCGGATTGCCTGAAGCAACCCAAGTCATCTTGAACCAGGACACCCAAGTCACGTTCGAGAGTTAATTGTTGCAGTACATCCGTTCCGAGTCGGTATGAGTAGCTGCTTTGATGTCGGATGGAAAGCACCTTGCATTTACTGACGTTGAAATGCAATAAGTTTTGGGTCGACCATTGATACACTGTATCTAAGTCACTTTGGAGCACAAGTTGGTCGGCGTTCGCCTGGATCCTGCGCCAGATCTTGATACCGTCAGCGAACATTAGGAAGTTTGAAGCGATTCTTTGTGCAAGGTCATTAATAAACACCAAAAACAAACGTGGACCTAGAACCGAGCCTTGCGGCACACCACACTCGACTTGTATGGGGTCCGATAAAGAGCTCCGAACTCTGACCACTAATTGCCTTTGAAATAGAAAGTTGGCGATCCAGCTTAAAAGAGGGTCGCCGATCCCGTAATGCTGCAGTTTGGATAGTAGTATCCGATGGTCTAGACGATCAAAAGCCTTGGAAAAATCCAGGTAGATCACATCAACACCTTCTCCAGCGTCGGCTGCCTCGGTCCAACTACTGCGTGCAATTAGTAAATTCGTTGTACATGACCGCTGTCGACGGAAACCGTGCTGTTCAGGAGTGATGAGATTGCAGTTTTCCAGATAGTACACCAGTGCATCGGCAACTATGGATTCCATGACCTTGGAGAGTATAGGAAGAAAGGTTACTGGGCGGTAGTTGGAGGGATCAGCTCTGCTTCCACCTTTGTGAATCGGGCTTATTATTCCAAGCTTCCACATGGCGGGAACTTGGTTCTGGTCTAAGCAGTGCTGGAAAAACTGAGCTAAATTTCCTGCCAGTTGGTTTGCTGCTGCTCCCAATGCCTCAGGACGAATGGCGTCGACACCCGGCGAGCTGTGTTTGCGTAGAGAAGTCAGCTTTTGCAATACAGCCTCTGCGGTAAAATTGATGTGGGTTAGTCCTGGTGAGCAGAATACAAAGCTTGGTAGATCGCTTGGTGGCAAGACCCTTTGAAACGTGGGGGCGTATTGCATCTGCAGCGCGTTTGCAGCTTCCATAGCCGTTCTTGTTGGGCCATCAGCCGTCTTAAGTGGAGGAAATCCTTGCCTCACCTTTCGTAGGCTATTAACGTGCTTGTACAGCAGTTTGTGGTTAGCACTGAAGGTTTTTGCGATGTTCTGCTGATAGGCGGCTTTGTCTTCTCTTAACGGTTGAGTGCAGTGGTTACGTTGGGCTACGTAGTTGTCCCAAGTTTCTGGTGCTGGAGCTTCTCTGTACACTCGCCATGCTGCGTTGCGTACTGTCATCCATTTTCGGGTTCTGCTTCTAACGAAAGAAACGGATTTGCACTTATTGCAGGCTTTTATCTCTGAAGCCTGTGCAATCAGCTGACTGAATGTGTTGACGAACTCGAGCCAGGCGACTTCCGGGGGTTCTTCTTCGAGGAAAGACCATGTTGTGGCGCTGACTAGCTGGGCGAGTCGGTCGTACCTTGTGATGGTTCGCACAGTCTCATCGTTATCATTCCGATATTCTGCATAGCAGACGAAGTTGAAACTGATGACTGCGTGATCACTGCGACCCAACGGGCATATCTATACAGCCGTTTGTAGTTTGCCAGGAATTTTTGTTAGTCACTGTTGGTAAGTTCCTTTGTCTTCACGGACAAGTGTAGTGCAATGGCTGCGATGGGTCAGGAAATTGTCCCAAGTCTCTGAGTCTGGGTTAATCTTGTAGGCATACCATTCTGCATCCTAAATCGTCATGCATTTGTGAGTCCTGCTGCTCAGAATTGATGGAATTTTTGAGGGACGAAGGGGATTTATCTCTGATGCTCTGCTGACCATGTCGCTGAAGATTTCAACGAACTCTGTCCTAACGATGTCAAGGGGACCGCTGCTTGAGAATGCCCTGGCAATAACGATTGATTCGGTGAGGGCGTTTAATGGTAGACATACGTGAATAACAAAAAAGTTCTGGGACACCCCAGAGGGCTGCACTGTTCTTTCGAGTTCAAGGAGTGAGATCTCAGGTTTTATTACTGCCGAGTTTGATTGAAGGGTGGAACACATGATTTGAATCACGCAGAAGCAAGTACGCCATTATCAGATCGTCCCGTAATCGACGCTAACGTCAACTGGATACTTCCAAATGTGACAACCTCTGCTCATATGGGAGGTTGCGCAATCCAATAACGTACTTGGAAACCCGACATTGAGGCTGCTCCAGTGTAGTGATGTCGTGCGTTTACCATAGATAAAGTGCCTGAATTGCGTACTCGACATGGGGGCCAACTTACCCACTGAGCATCTGACGAAAACCAGGTGTCTATATCTCCGAATGCCCGTAATTTGCTTCGTTGTCGGAAATAAATCACTACCACATGACCAGTCAGTCAAGCCTGAGCAAAGCACAGAGGCGCACCGATAAAACTGTGAGTTTCAGTTAATCAAATACAGGGAAAAGATATGGCAGCCAACCAGCAAAATCAAAAGTCAGGTTGTAAGTCACCTGTGTCCTAGTGCCATAAGCCGCCAGCTAGTGACACGAGCCTCTTATGTCGAAATGCTATGGGCTCGGTCCTTGAAGGAGCCGGGTGATATTGACTAGTCCCAGTTAGTTGAAACGGCTATCTGGTGCCTTTCTGTGTGTGCGTGTGTGTGTGTGGCAGCCCATTTGTCTTGGTGGCCTACCGCAAGGAATACTCAATACAAGCTGGAAACCTTTAGGGTTTTCAGATACGAGGGTTAATATCTCAAAGAAGTGGATTTACAACCTTACTAAGCTCCTTAGCATTTAATTTGGTTGATCATATGACCTTCATTCAGTAAGATGACAAAAGCTACCGAGGCCCATTCTTCCGTTTAGTTCATCCATGTCTCTACACCGCGCGCTATCACCTAGTGACTCTGTGGCGCTGCCCAAGCAGGCGCACTATCAGAAAGTTAATATTAAAAAACACCGTAATAATGCAAATAGTATACACATGAACAATTTACCATCACTCTTTCAGAACTCCACCTATGAACACTCAACAAAGCTCCTCAGTCGCGTTCCCGCGCATGAAGATACCGCGATCAACTTTGGCAAAGAGTTGACAGAACGACTGGCAGGTAATAAGATTTGAAATATTTTGAGTAAGGTTATGAACATGCGAACTGAAACACTATCTTGGGCGTTATGATGAACTTTAATCCAATTAAACCAGTACAGTTGTAATACACGATCACGAGAAGTAATAACTGATGTGCAATGAGCTGGCAAAAGGTATGGTATGAAATGTTCCGGTTCATGCTTTTGGGAGGATTGTAAGCGTTTGCTAACCGAACAACCAGTGTGCACTGCGGCGAACTCTTGCTCTTGTGACCAATATGTCCCTCACAAAGAAAACGACAGGAAGGCGAAAAAATCCCATGTTAAAAAGGGATTTCTTTTTGTAATTCCAAATAAGAAATGTAGAAGCCGCAGATTGTGTGATAATTCAGCCGTTTGGTGCGTTTGCATCGATCACAGATATGCAACCGCTGAGTAAGGTTGCGGAAAAAGGACTTAATAGATGGCGTACCAGCCAAAGTACACTTCGCGCGGAGGTGACAGACTCAGTTACAGTACGCTATTTCCACTTTCAGAGCAATGGTTACGGTCCATCGACTACAACAGGTCTCAGTCTGGTTTGACTTAATGAACAGCCTTCGTTGAATGTTCGTGTTACTGAGGCAACCGCGCTTCTCTATTTACCCGAATCAAACATTAGGTATTCTGTTTGTTTGCGCGACCAGTACGGATCGTGTTCCTCGCTTTGGTCACAAATCCTTCGAATGGTAAGCCAAACATAGGCATCTCCATTGCTGAAGGTGAATTCGTATACTAAACAATGGAACGCACTTATAGCCGAGTCACTAGGTTACCACAAACTCAGATTCGCACCGGCCTAGGGAAATGTCGAAAACACAAATATCTAGGCGCGATAAAGGTTTATTGTCGAAACGTGCAATCCTACTACCTAAAGGCGCCGTACAAGGGTCATAGCTAGAGGGAGAGATGTGGGTGCCAACGCAGATTTCGCTTGCACTCCGGGAAGCCGGAAGCGTGCGAAGTGCCATTCATTTGGTTTACTCAAACGCAAGTGGTCATCTTTTGAACAGGCAAGTTCACCATGTTGCTTAGGTACAAAATTAAATTATATTTTTGTAATATTTTACACATCGTACTCAGACAGCTAGGGGAATCGCCTGGTCAATACACACTGCTTCACTAACAGTGTCTTGATGGAAAGTACAAGCAAGGGTCCTGTCGGGAACAGCAGCTTCATTTCTGTTGCACTGTATGTATGATATGCGTCGCTTTCGTAAAGCAGCTCAATAGACATGGTCTTCGTTCGAACTGCTTACGCTTGCCAACCCTTGGTCTGTCGTTGATGCATTTTATAGATAGCCTTAAGGTCCTAGTTTATTGAAAAGTAGATTTCGCACTACCGGTTGCATCTGGAGGTAAATAATGTGCACTCTAGAAAACGAAATCTGGGCCAAACGGCGTCCGTGCTGTTACGAGGTGGTACTCTTAAATTTCAAATGCTAACTAGCTTAGACTTCCTTTCAGTAGACCGCTCACTTGATCGAACAACAACACGGTCATTGTGGAATCCATGTGGCTAGTTGAGGCGATTATCCTCCTAAATCTCACCCGTTAAAGTAAAGTTCGGTTGCATGCGGTTGCTCGTTCTTATCGCATCCGACATGTCATCATACAAAGGCACATCTGATACTACATCATAGACTTAAGACTTGCATTATTGCCGTCTGCCATCTAGTTTATCACGTCCATGAAAATAGGATCTAGTGGGCTGCTACCGATTGCCCGAAAAATAGGTAAACATTATCAGAGCGTTTTAAATCCGCCTTGTCCGAACAGTGTGGGGCTCCTGGAAAGCTGTCAATGCTCTTCAATATTTCTAACGGTGTAAGACAGAAATACCAACTGTAAGGTGTGGAGTTGCTTCCAGTTGGTTGACTTCTTAACTTGGACAACACCGATGACGTTGTTCTAATCTGCGACACCGCATAAAAGGTCCAACTACATCGAGCATACTAGCACTCGATGTTAACCGTGGTTGGATATGCTTTGTACGGTCGAAATACAAAGAGTTTATCCAAGTTTGACGGGGACCGCTTCCTGCGCTGTACCTTGGTGTGGATCAAATAAAAGTCCTTCCGAATATCAAGTACCTATGTACTTGTCATATCGCCTGTGGAAGATAAATAACCTTTTTATTCTTGAACACGCGGGGCATGCCTGCACAGGCATGGTCCGAGGGTAAGAGTACGAGTACTCGAAAATGCACAAAGGTCTCTGGGAGCGAGCGACCACTCGATGATCATAGGCAGCATGGAACTACCACTGCCGTATTCTCCCCCACTGGAGCCAACTTTCAAGTATTGGAAGGCGGAGTTTAATGGCCTCATTCGAGCAGCGAGCCAGGCAGACTGGTCTTTACCACAGGATTCATCTATTGAAACCTGTTGGACTATCATTAAAGAGGGAGTGAAATCGTTGTGCGCCCGATTTGTACCCCTCAAATTTCGAAAAATTGGGCCAGTCAAACCACATTGGTTCGATAAAGAGTACAACAAACTGGCCCGACGACGACGCAGGCTATGGAACAAGTTCGTGTCATCTGGCTCTGATGAGGCTATGATGCGTACAAGGTACAACGAAATCGCTGCAACAACGCAAAAACAAGAAAACGCAGAAGCTTCAAAGAGGAGCTTACAGCCGCCGCAAAAACTGCTCCCAAGAGGATCTTTGCATACGTGAAACGGCGCCTGAGGCCTGTAGCCAATGTCCCAGTGTTAGTAAGCTCCGATGGACAGCCCCTAACCTCGAGTACAGATCGTGCGTCCGCATTGGCGATGCACTTCGCCTCGGTATTTGCAAGTGACCAGGTGTCTGTAACGAGTTCGACGAGTACCGCTTCAGCCGAACTTAACAGCCTGGACTGCAATATTGAGGATGTGCGCAAGCTTCTAGCAAATCTTGACAGGACAAAACCTGCTGGGCCAGATGGTATACACCCACTGATCCTCAAGTCCCTATCGGCCATCCTCGCGCCTTCTGTAACTGAACTGTTTAAGAGGTCACTATCTACTGGACTGTTACCAGACGACTGGAAATGCTCAGTCGTAAATCCTATACCGAAAGGTGGTAACCCAAGTAAAGTTGATAACTACCGGCCGATCTGCCTGACTGCTGTCTTGACAAAGACGCTCGAGAAGATCGTGAAGAAGAACCTTCTGCAGCTTCTCGAGTCGAAAAACCTGTTGACCTCCGCACAGCATGGTTTTATGAAAGGTAACTCGTGCATCACCAACCTACTGTTGACAAGGCACGAGTGGTTACAAGCGATGAACCAAGGCCATTCAGTCGAGGTCATTTACATTGACTTCAGTAAGGCTTTTGACAAGGTCAACCATGTAGTGCTCCTTGACAGGCTGAGGATGTACGGTGTTGGTGGTTCGCTACACAAATGGATCAGAAATTTCCTTGTGGATCGGAAGTGGAGAGTCCAGGTGGACAACCATCTAACGGACTGGTATTCATCGAGCAGCGGCGTGCCCCAAGGCACTGTACTTGGGCCGATATTGTTTCTGATCCATGTAAACGATGTGCCTAAGCTACTCCAATCACCATGTGCGTTGTTCGCAGATGACTTGAAGGTGTGGAGAGTAATCCGCACACTAAATGATTGTGATTTACTTCAGCAGTATCTCGACAGCCTCTGAACATGGTCTGCAGAGGTTAACCTTCCGATCAACCCTGATAAGTCGCAACTCATGAGGTTGGGTAAATGCGAGCACAGCCGAACGTACACAGTGGCTGATCAACCGCTGTATCCCGCGTCTTTCGTGCGCGACCTCGGTGTGATCTCACGCTGCGACCTAAAGTCCATTGACAACACGAATAGGCTGTACCAAAACAGCCTTCGGATGCCTTGGGCGCTCAGGCGCAGCTTCAGCACTTGGTCCGAAGAGATTGCCACTCGCCTCTTCGTCTCGATAATACAACCAATGATAGAGTACGGCTCTCCCGCATATTGTCCCATCACGCTGGGCGAGGTAGGAAAGCTTGAGCGGGTGCAGCATGTAGCCACCAGGCTGATTCCCAACTTACGAGGTATGCCATATGAAGACCGATGTAAGAAACTAGGGCTGTACACCCTAGCATATCGTCGGCTGAGGGTTGACCTAATCATGACGCACCAGATATTACATCTGAGTGATTACCCCATGTTGAGACAACTGCTTCATCTGCGCACACCAAGCAGCACGCAAGGACACCGGTACAACCTTATCGTACCGCAGTTGAAGCGGATAGCTCACCAACTGTTTCGAACGTAGAGTGGTGAAAACCTGGAACAACCTGCCGCAGCCGGTAATAGAGGCGAATTCAGTGGCCGAATTTAAGAAGCCTCTAGACAAACACTTTGCAGAGGCAAAATATAAAGAGCGGAACGATAATTAATACGTTAATGTCCAAGAGCGATAATTGATGCAGCTACACAGAGGATGCTCTTCTCGCTGCTTCTAATCAGTATCAGTATATTATGACTGTCGTTTCGGTGGATAAGTGAATGTATGTAGGTGTACAGGCGCATTCGTGTGTAGCTGTGTTGCTGAAGTTTTACTGTGCTTGATAGCGTCACCAGTGTCAGAAGGGATATTTGAAGTATGTGTATTTGATATGATAATCCATTAAGCAAGAGGCAGGCTTCAATTAGTGGCTAGTCACAATCCCCACGTCGCAGTGCTGTTAAACAGACCTTTATGGCTTTTCATATGGCGAACGCGTGCCTGACAGGAACCAACCACATCCTGGAACACGGCCGCCGACATTTTTGATGGAAGGGGCTAAATCCGAAAACCCAGCTGGCACCAGAAGGTTGTTCGGCTAACCAGTAGTTGTTCTGCATGCTTTTATCCATGTTTATCGCTTGCAGTGACGGCTAGATATCTCCCTCATTTTGGACGGACGAGTGCGCTAATCACGCATGAGTGCACTGCGGATTTAGTTACGGTTTCTCTGTGACATTTTATCGCACACCAATGGATCTGCACAT